AGAGCGGTTTTTCCTCTGAACATGGCTTCTGGATCATCAGCATGAAGGCGGGAATAATCTATACCTGCTCCATCCCAGAAACCAGAATTCCTGCAAGCCCTGGCCTTAGCCAAGTAGGAATTTTTCTAGATATTGAGTTGGAAGAAATCAAGTTTTTTGATGTTAGCAATGATACCCTCATCTACATACACAGTAATTTCTCCTGTTTGGAGCCTTTGTGTCCGTTCTTTAGTCCTGAGCTCCCCGGAGAAGGTGATAATGGTGGCCCCCTAACCATCTGTCCATCAGGAACTCATCCCTTCCTAGAAACGTCCTGTGAGGTGAATGAGATCTCTGATGTGAGAAACGTCAGAATGACCCAAGAAGAGACAATTTTGTAGACTTTGTAGCTAAGCAATTTTTATTGATTTGAAGGTGTATTTTGTAGACCTTGCAGCTAAATAACTATGGGGTGTAGGGGGTGTTATTAAGCACTTTAAAGCCTCAGTTTTTCAGTCTTTAATTATATCTCTCAGCCAAACATCTGTGATGATTAGAGACTACACTGTGCATTTATTCTGTAGTATATACAATGGGGAGTTTTCGATTATAAATTAAATTATTACATTTTGTGGATAGGAACAATGCCTTTTTCATTATTTCATGCCTTTTCTATAGTATAATTCCTGATAATGATAACTGTCTGGGGAAAAAGAAGAATGAGATGCCAGAGTGAGATATTTTGACATGAAAGTTAAATGAGAGAGACAAATGTACTGGGAAAGAACTGTTTTTTATTTTTACTTTCTTGAAAGACAAAGAACCTTTCACTGAGGTAGTGTTAGTGGTGATTCATGTTTGTCCTAATGAGAATGTTCAATAATTGGCATATTGGGTGGTTGTCAAAGTGGTATTGTATATATGATGGCCAAAAAGGTGCCAATAGGGTCAGTCAGAGAGTATCTGTCCTGGACTCCTTGCTTGGTGCCCTGCAGTTAATGTTGCACTTCCCTCTACCACAACTCGTTGTCAATAGATTGGCTTTACTACACACGGGTGAGCAGACCCAAGTTTGGTCCAGTAACAGTTTCTCTAAGATTCTGGACCTTCTGGACTCAATTATATAAGGAGGGAAATGACTGTTTGGAACACTGGATCCTCTCACAACCTATCTGTAATTTGTGCCCCTCCCCCCCATCATACCCACACTGTCCTAGACTGCAGTTTCCCACACCCCAGTCTTAAATTCTCATGATGGCTCCTTTTCAAACCATTCAGGGGCTTTCGGGTTGTATTTTTAAAATTTTACTGAGTCAGCCACTTCCAAGGTGGCATCTGTCCTAGGAATGCTGGGTTGGGACATGTTCTGGACTCTGACTTTGACTTCCTTTCCAAAGAGACCCAGAATTGTTGCAGGAAGAGGGACCCCTTCCAGGGCCCAAGAGTGGGCTCTTGTCTAACACTCAGAAATGAATTGCTTGAGGAGACATATGTACTGACAAAGCAAAAGACTTTACAGTAAGTCCCCTACATAAGAACCTTCAAGTTGTAAACTTTCAAAGATGCAAATGTACGTTCACATGTCCAATCACATGTTAGTTCATGTGTCTGGCATACATTGTCACGTACGTGCATCCTCTACAAGTGGTTGTGCTTGTGTGTATTTTACTGTACAGTACCGTATAGAGTACAGTAGTACAGTATCTTTATTTCAAGCCCAAGTTGTCCAGAAGCAAGCGTAAAAGCAGCGGTGATGTAGTTGGTACTGCTAAGAAGCGCCAAGCGATAATGATGGAACTTGCTGTGCAACACGAGGAGCTTACTAATGAAGTCCTGATGGAACTGCAGGCCCAGAGAAGGGACAAAGACAATAGGAAGAAGTAACTGAAGAACCAAAGAGATTCACAACACAGGAAATGGCAAGGGGATTTTCTTTACTTGAGGAGGCACTGTTAGTTTTTGAGTCATAGGACCCGAACGTAGAACGGCACATGAAGGTTGCAGCAGCCGATCAGAATGTAATCCAGCACTACCGTGTCATCTATGACAAGAAAAAAAGAGCTCCTACCCAGACATCACTGGATCGTTTTTTCAAGAGGGTAGATAGAATTGAATCTAGCAAGGAACCAGAACCTGTGCCATCAACATCAGGTGTGAGTGAAACTGCAGCATGCCCTCCATCTTCCTCCTCTCCCTCCTCCAGTCAGTAACTCTTCTTGCCTGTTAACTCAATGCCAGCCCCTCTACGCCAGCTGTTGTACTGTACTACTGTACTTTTCAAGGTACTGTACTGTAGGATTAAAAATGTTTTCTTTAGTTTGTGTGTCTGTTTTTATGTATTATTTGTGTGAAAAGTATTATAAACCTATTACAGTACATTACTGTATAGCCGATTGTGTTAGTTGGGTACGTAGGCTAACTTTGTTGGACTTACGAACAAATTGGACTTACGAACGTGCTCTCGGAACGGAACTCGTTCATATGTAGGGGACTTACTGTATTGGGAAGGGGCTGTGGCTGGGCGGAGAGCTGCAGGGTAAGGGAACCCAGGAGAACTGCTCTGCCACGTGGCTCACAGTCTCAGGTTTTATGGTAATAGGGTTAGTTTCTGGGTTGTCTCTGGCCAGTCATCTTGCTTGGCCCATATTTGGTCTGATTCAGGGTCCTTCCTGGCGGCGCCAATATCTCTCAGCCAAGCTGGAGTCTAGCGCAAAGGATTCTGGGAAGTTGGTAGGACAGTATTATGGGATGGCATCTCCTCCTTCCTTTTGGCCCATCCCGAATTCTCCTGGTTAATTTTCAGTGGCAGCACCATGTTCTTTATCAGGACCTCCTGTGGTGAGACAACTCATCGTGCCTGGCCAGTGTGAGCGGTTTTGGTCAACGGTTCCCTAACAGAATTGTCATCTCCTGTTTGTTTCCAACTCCATTGGAGATGAGGGACAGCCCAGTTGTGGTGTTTTGTTGCTGTTGTTATTCCCTTTTGATCCATATGATTTTATTTCAGGGGTCTCCTTGCCCTTCTCTGACACTGGGCCTAGGTGGGGACCACCCCAATCCACCTTAACAGGTGTTTGTATTGTTGAAACAAAAGTTTTCTGAGACAATACCTATGACGAGTGATAACACTATAATTTTCTTTTATTATATTTTATTAGAAAAAATGCTGGTCTCACACACTTATTTGATTTCAGAACTCACCAATAGGTTAGAAGTGCAATTTGAAAAGCTGGGAAGGTCCCTGGGCTTCTCATGTCTTTGAGTGCTAAAGAGAAGGCAGCCCCAGTTTCCTAGGACTAGAGATAAGAGTATGTATTATAATCTGCATATTTCAGCTTCTCTCAAGGACCATTTGCTTTAAGGGACTTTCTGTCTCTTCTTCAGGGGGATTTAAGTTCTAAGCTTTCCTTCATCCCAGCTAAAGGACCTGAGCGAGTTTTTTCTTCATCAAACGTTAAAGGGAAAATGCCAGTGGCCAATGATTGGCCTGTTTCTTTTTTTCCTATCTGAATCACTGTGGCCCAGGGGAAATGATGGGGGCTGGGTCACATTCTCATCCTGTCGCCAATCGGTATTTTTCCTTAGCAAAATATTTCACATATCCAACTCCTTAGCATGTCTGTTGCTACAACCCTAATCTAAACCTCACACGTATCCCATCTGGACAGTTGTGACAGCCTCCTAACCTCCTTGCTCCACCCCCACCTTTCCATAGTTCACTTCCACCCGGGGACCAAAATGATTCTTTTAAACTATCCATCAGGTCACTCCTGTCTTAAACCCTGCAAGGATTAATAGGTCAGGGGGAATAAATTCTCTCAGATGCCCTCCCCCACAGTCTCCCCTCACTCCTCTCCAGGAGCACTAGCTTGCTTTCCACCAGAGCCAGCTTCCCAGGGCTCAAATCCTATTTTTGTTACTTTCAGTTATGTGATTTTGGACAAGTTATCCAACTTCTCTATGCCTCAGTTTCCTACTTAGTAAAGAGGGATTAATAAGAAACCCAGCCTTTAGGATTGTTATATGGATTAAATTTGATAATTCACCTCGATTGTTTAGCTCTGGGCCTTGCTTGTAGATTGTGGTATTTGTTGCCAATTAGTGACATCATCTAGTATCTTTGGTGACATGTGAAGTTGGCTATTTATTTAACATACTCCTTATCATGTTGGAAACATTTTTAATCCCAGTTTTTAAAATACTTTAAAATTATTCAGGAAGAGGTATTGCATTTTGACTAGTCTTTTAGTAATGAAACAATTGTTTGGTATTACTTATGGATTGATAGAAGAAAGCATCTTGGTGTGCCCATCCCCCTAACACATCTGTGTAAGTTCCTTCTTCCCATCCCCCAGCTAACCCCTCCCACTGTTGCAAATTGTGGTGTGGACTGAAAGAAAGGTTTTAATTGGCTCTGGGGGTAAAGGTGGAGTCAATTTGGGGAACAGAGCTCTGGTTGTCTCAAAAAGCAATAGTAGTATGAGGATAATTACAATTCTGAATCTAATTGGTATATTAGGATAATATCAATCAATTATTATTGTACCTCCTACCTCCCTTCCAACAGCCCTTCTCAAATTTCAGCTTTCCAGCCCTCAGCCCTTACTACCCCCATCTGGGAATCCTTAATAAAATACCTCCCCACCCAAACTTGGACGGAATCATACCCCTTAATCTTTTTTTCACATCTACCTCTGCCTCTCCCTCACTATCCCTCCAAGCAATACGTTTTATACATAATGTTCTTTCCACTGTGGTCTTCTTGGACTAAACTGATTAAGTACCTATCCCACCCTGCCTCAATTAGCATAACTGACTAAAACTATAGGCTAGGTGGGGAAGGAGAACAAGAAAAGGCTGTGGAGATGCAGGGAAAGAAGGGTGAGGGCCAGGCTGAGCTCTAACCAAGGCTAATGGTGAAGGAGGAACTCAGTCCTTCCCACCTGAGTCACAGGGACGGGGAAAAACTTACACTACCTTCAACATCTCTATTTGGGAGGAAGACTAATTCCCCACCACTCCAAGACAGTTGATTTGAACGACTTTATTTGGCCATAAAGGCTCAGATGACATAAGTGGCCGGAGCAATGGTTCTCAGCCCTGGTTTCTCCTTACAATCATGTGAGGAATTTCAAAAGTTCCCAGACCCCAAACCACGTCCTAAACCAATCAAATTGGAACCTCGGCGTTGGGACCCAGACAGTGGTACTTCTCCAAGTTTTCTAGGTGATTTCAGTGTGCAGCCAGTGTTGAAAATCACTGGACTAAAGAACTGGTTCCAAAAGTTTATTGTGCCTCAGAATCTCTTGGATGAATTCAGTAGGTCTGGGGTGGGGCCCCAAAATTTGCATTTGTAATCAGTTCCCAAGTGATGCTGGTGGGGACCACACTTAGAAACCAGTGGACTAGAGGACAGAGTGCACTTTAATTTTCATTCTTGAATTAAGTCTATTAATTAATTTAAAATTTAATTCCATTTTAGCTTTAATTTAACTTTAATTCTTGCATTAAAAACCAAAACAAATTAGAAAAACCCTGGAACAGTTGAAGAGAAGGGAGGGGGAATGAGGGAGGTTAGCTGGGATTAGATCAGTATGTTTAGAAAACTCAGAAAACATTATGGACATTCTAGCCCACCACCAGCCCCTCTGCATATTGATCACAAGATTTTCATCAATTCGGATACCCTGATAATACCCCAAAGTGTGTATAAAAATGACCCAAGCCTGTATTCTTAATTTTTGGTTTTAGGACTTTCTGTAAGAAAAAGGTTCTTGTTCAAGCCTTTCTGGGCCACCTTTTTTCCATAGAAAGCAATCAGGAAAAAGTGGTGAGATTTTCTGCTTCTTAAGAGGTTACTGTCTCTGGACAGTCTGTACATGTTCACTTAGAGTTTGGTGAGTGCTGTTCTTTGCTTTTCATAAGTGGCAGATTCTGCCCAGACTCTAAAATGTACTGATATGTATGGGTGCCACATGCAGCCTGGTCTTAGACTTCCTCGTGGCAAGCTTCTAAGAACCTTTCTTAAGAAACAGCTGGCTCTCCCTCTTTGCCCACTTTTTGGTCTCTTCCTTCATCCTGCTGCTCTACTCTCTTGGACTATAAGGGTAAGGGGCTGCCTCAGGGCCTGAGAGAAGCCTGTGCCCATGAAGTGTACAGGGACCCCTGACGGCTGCACAGCCCCTCTGCTTGCCTTGGAACTTCACCTCTGACTTGACCAATGTGATACAGAAATAAACAGCTTTCCATTTTAAGCCTGTGTTATGATGTGATTTTTTTCTTTTTTTTGGGTTTTATTTTATTTATTTTTATATAGGAGGTTTTTATTAGTTATGTCTTTTATACATATTACTGTATATATATCAATCCCAATCTCCCAATTCATTCCACCGCCACACCGCCCCCCACCCCCACCATTTCCCCCCCTTGGTGTCCATACGTTTGCTCTCTACATCTGTGTCTTTATTTCTGCCCTGCAAACCGGTTCATCTGTACCATTTTTCTAGGTTCCACATATATGCGTTAATATACAATATTTGTTTTTCTCTTTCTGACTTACTTCACTCTGTATGACAGTCTTTAGATCCATCCACGTCTCTACAAATGACCCAATTTTGTTCCTTTTTGTGGCTGAGTAATATTCCATTGTATGTATGTACCACATCTTCTTTATCAGTTCATCTGTTGATGGGCATTTAGGTTGCTTACAAGACCTGGCTATTGTAAATAGTGCTGCAGTGAACATTGGGGTGCATGTGTCTTTTTGAATTATGGTTTTCTCTGGGTATATGCCCAGTAGTGGGATTGCTGGGTCATATGGTAATTCTATTTTTAGTTTTTTAAGGAACCTCCATACTGTTCTCCATAGTGGCTATATCAATTTAAATTGCCTTTTCTCCACACCCTCTCCAGCATTTGTTGTTTGTAGATTTTCTGATGATGCCCATTCTAAGTGGTGTGATGTGATACCTCATTGTAGATTTCACTTGCATTTGTCTAATAATTAGTGATGTTGAGCAGCTTTTCATGTGCTTCTTGGCCATCTGTATGTCTTCTTTGGAGAAATGTCTATTTAGGTCTTCTGCCCATTTTTGGATTGGGTTGTTTGTTTTTTTTTTGATATTGACCTGCATGAGCTGTTTATACATTTGGAGATTAATCCTTTGTTGATTTGTTTGCAAATATTTTCTCCCATTCTTAGGGTTGTCTTTTCATCTTGTTTGTAGTTTCCTTTGCTGTGCAAAGCTTTTAAGTTTCATTAGGTCCCATTTGTTTATTTTTGTTTTTATTTCCATTGCTCTAGCAGGTGGATCAAAAAAGATCTTGCTGTGATTTATGTCAAAGAGTGTTCTTCCTATGTTTTCCTCTAAGAGCTTTATAGTGTCCGGTCTTACATTTAGGACTCTAATCCATTTTGAGTTTATTTTCATGTATGGTGTTAGGGAGTGTTCTAATTTCATTCTTTTACATGTAGCTGTCCAGTTTTCCCAGCACCACTTATTTAAGAGAGTGTCTTTTCTCCATTGTATATCATGCCTCCTTTGTGATAGATTAGTTGACGATAGGTGTTTGGGTTTATCTCTGGGCTTTCTATCCTGTTCCATTGATCTATATTTCTGTTTTTGTGCCAGTACCATATTGTCTTGATTACTGTAGCTTTGTAGTATAGTCTGAAGTCAGGGAGTCTGATTCCTCCAACTCCATTTTTACCCTCAAGACTGCTTTGGCTATTCAGGGTCTTTTGTGTCTCCATACAAATTTTAAGATTTTTTGTTCTAGTTCTGTAAAAAATGCCA